GAATGATCACAGGGCTTAGACGTAGAAACCATCCTGCCCTTGGCTGCTGTGTGAGCTCAGAATATTCACCTGAACAGTTCAGGCCTTTGTATCTGCATCAGTAAGATGAGAGAGAGAGAGAGAGAGGTTCTATGTGAGGTTGTTTTGGTAATGGGAGAGTATTTTGTAAAGTGATTGGTACATAAAAGATATACTTAAATATTGGTCATCATTTGTATTAAAAAATTTAAACTCGCAACCCAATAATTGAGATTATTAATAGTATAGTAAAATAATTTTGCCAGCCTGAAGAAGTCATTATTTTAGCTCAGGATCCTGTAGCTGAATACATAGACTGAGTGGTTTAGACAGAAATTCATTTCTCACAGTTTGGGAGGCTTAGCCAATCCAAGATAAAGGTCCCAGCAGGTCTGTTCTGGTGGGGGCCTCTTCCTGGTTTGCGGGTAGCTGCTTTCACATGATGGAGAGAGCTCATCTTCCTCATGTCTCTTCTAATCTCATTCATGAAGCTCCATCTTTCTCACTCCTCTTGAAGACTTCACCTCGGAACACCATCATATTGGTGTTGGCCTTGGCGATTTAGGATTCAAACTATGCATTTGAAGGGAAACAAACATGGCGTCCCAGCCTCATCACATGATTGCTTTAGATATTACAACTTTACTTTTCTTTCTTTCTTTTTTGTTTTCTTTTAGTTTTTCTATAGGGCATGTAAGCTCACTGAAGAGAGACAGAGAGGACAAGTGAGAAATCAATGGCCACATGGCGCCCCTTCTCCTCCATTCTCCTCTCAGGATTTTGGGCCCACACATACATGTACCCAGAGTGATTTTCAAGCCAGCAGGTCTGAGACTCAAACTGTGAAGTCAGCCCTGTGAGATCCAGTGCCTCATCCTCCATACCACCTCCTGGTCCAATATTCCAACTTTAAATAAATGTGTTTATGGCAAAAATGTTGAAATCAAAGAACTCCATTAGCTAATTGCCCAAGCGTATTGCTTTTGCTTCCCTTAGCCTGAGCATAATAAAACCCTCCTTGCTAGGATGTTGATGTGAGGAATGAGTGAGAGATGAAGGCTGGAATGCACCAAGTCCCGTCAGGGATAGAGCTTGTGTTTGGTGTGTGTTTGTTTTAGAAATTTCTTTCCCTTTAAGCTCTTCTGCTTTCATCCTGTGGTTCTGAATCTACCTAGATTGTAACCAGCTTTTTCTGAGCTCCAAGTAAGCCTTAGAGAGAGTCTATAGACATTTTCTGCTTATGTAGACAGATAGTAACTCATCATGGATACCCAAACACTGCATTCCACTGAGAGTCAGTGAGAAACTCAGAACCAGGCCTGGGGTTGTCTGCCTCCTCCTCTGGGCCACAGGCCTCTTATCCACAAAGTGAAGGGGTGGGAGACAGTTGTTCAGGTGGCTTCCAGCTCTGGCATTCAGTGAACCTAATTTGTAGTTGCGCGAGCTGTCACTCATAAACCAGGAAGAACAAAATTATCCTCATTATTCTGCTGGCAGTTCTGGTGCCGGAGAAGCCACTGGCTCCTGCCACATCTAGAATTAGCTCTGAGCTCTTGGGCTTTTAATTAAAGGGCTTTGTGAGTCAGATGGTTTATGGTCAGATACAGATCTTCAGGGAGACACCAAGGGAGGTCCTCAGTTGTATTGACTACTCTTTAGGAATCGGCTGCCTCTCCCAGTGCCAGAACTCCAAATCAGCAGGCTCACCAGAGACTTCCAGGAGACGCTGCGTTAAGTCTCAGCTCAAGTTTTGGCTACTCCAGGCCCCAGAGACTGAGGGACAGGAGACCTACTGCATGTCATTGCTCTTTTCCTGGTGGGTGTCTGCGTTGTGTCAGCCTAGTCTATTCTGTCACAGTTCCCCACGCTCGCCGCAACGTCGGCAGTGTTTCTTACCCAGTGCCATTTCCGCTTGGGGTGGTTTGTGCTAAATGCATTTTTCAGTCCCAAGTGGTACAGGGAATAAAAGGATTGTCTAAGAAAAAGTGGTTTTGAATGTGTTGAAAGCAAGGCTGCCTGCTGTGTGTGTTTTAACAATTGCCTCCCCAGAGGAGCCTTTGAAAACCTCACCTTTCAAGATGTCTCACCTCACATTAGAAAGTGACTTAAATAAAATTGTTCTGTGCCCAGTGCCGCTGTGGTTGCCAAGCTAGTGATTATTTGTCTAACCTGACTCCAGGGCTGGGACTTCACACCATTTCTTCTCACTGCCCTCCCAGAGAAGGCCAAATCCTGCCCGTCAGATTCTTCCACCTGGTGTCACTGTGGGGGTGTGTGTGCACACACTGGAGTGTGGACCTGCTGGACAGACTGTGCTTTTTCCACAAAATGCTACTGAGCACTGTGTGTACTCAGCACCATGTCAGGGCAAGAGCTCTGTTTTATACCTGTGCTGTCCACCTGTGGCCTTCGTGACCTGGTTCTGTGCCCACTGGCCTGCTGAGGTTTCTGCCGACTGATCTGAGTTCCTATGTTTTTCCTTCTGGATACTGATGTGTTCAAGGTCTGTGAATGACCACCATGTTTGATGTCTTTATATCAGACCATCTTAGCCTCAGCACTGCTACCCTTTGGGGTGTAATAGGTCTTTGTTGTAGGGGCCTTTCCTGCACATGGTAGGTGCACCATCCCTGGTGGTAGCAGCACACACACACCTCAGTTGTGACAACCAGAAATAAATGTCACGAATGTCAAATGCCTTCTCACTACTTACTATTTGCCAGTGTGCCCTACCAATGTATCCTTCACTTAAGGGCTGGGAAGAAACTAGCCCAAGTCAAACAGTAAGTTGGGGGCAGAGCTCCAGCTACTATTTACTTATTTATTCATTTAGTGAAAGAGAAAAAGAAGAGTGAGAGAGAGAAGAGAGAAATCAGAGAAAGGCACCCCCCAGAAAGGTGTACATGTCATGATCCACTTGAAGCCTCAACCAGCCCAGATCATGGGTGTACATGTGTATGCCTGTGTCACCATGCAAGGGAGGTTTCAGGATGTGAACCCAGAACCTTTCCCATGTGGTCCAGTTGTGTTACTACTGTGCCATCATCTGACCCACAGCAACAATCTAAATCTCCTGTCTTCCCTACCTCGTGTCCCACTCATGGATCTATTCAGTGGTATGCCGCTACATTCCCTAGGATAAGCAATTCTCTAATTTTCTTATTAGAATTAGAATTTTAAGGCCTACTGGCTCTAAGATGCTTCGGGTTCCTATGTGCTGCCCTTCACATATTAGTCTTGCATTCTTCGAATCTTGTTTTCCACCCCAAACACACATACTTACTGCTGTCATGTGCTGTAGGGAGCATTAGCCTGGTCAGTGTTTTGATTATCTCTTTGGATAAGTGTAGAACAGTTAGAGTGAGATTTTTGCTTTCCTGTTTGGTGAATTTTTTTTCCTGAACTTTCCATTCAATCATAAAGGAGTTACAGAAGCAGTAAGATGGCTCTGGTCAAATGGCAGAAACCTTAGGGCATGCATCAGTAGGATCTCTTGGACAGCCTAGCTCCTGGGTGAGGACTGAGTGCTGTTGTTCAGCATCAGACATGTTGAGTGCCTGTGCGGTGTCAAAGTGATGGCCAGTGGGCTGTTCAGTAGTGACAGAATGTATGTGGAAGTTCTTGAGTAGTGTTTTAGTCCATACTTGCGAAAAGAGAAAAATTAATAGTAATCCTCTTCCCACTGTTCTAGTAAAGAGCAACTAAACTGTCTTATGCCGGAGGCTCAGATGCCTACTTGCCCACGTGGTCACCAGGTGGACCGACTGGTTTGTCAGATAATGCAAGCTCTCCAAGCCTAAGGACTCAGCTGGTCTTGACTTTTTTACATTGGCTGTGTTCAGTGCCAAGAGCTCCTAGCCTTCCTATGTATCAGGAGATCTCGATTTCCAGCTCTCCTGTGATGTCACCTCATTATCTAACTTTGGGAAGTAGTTTAGTGTGACTAGAATATGGGTAGCCCCCGGGGATGGGGCAGGAGCATGGAGTGGCTTTGCGTTTTATCTTAAAGGTTGTGGGAAGGACTTGTAAGGATTTAAGCAAGGAAGACGTGTCATCAGATGTGTGCTTTAGAAAAAACTTTCTGCAGAGTACAGGACCACAGCCCAGAGAGGAGGGAACCAGTTAGGAAGTTGGTACAACAATTCGGTCAAAATGTGTTGAGAACCCCTGGGTGCCAAGAGCTGAGTGGCACAGATTAGAAGTGCTGTGAAAGTTCAGCAGAGTGGGATGTGAGCATGGACTGTGGCGGCAGGGACTATCTGAAAAGGAATCATGGAGGAAGTGAGGTTTCTGCTGTCCTTCAAAGCTGATAGAAAAGGTGAAGGCGAAGGGACCAGCAGTTGATGTAATGGCTATGTCGCTGGACTCCCATGTAGTCGACTGTGGTTCCAGTTTCGGATCTAGTGGCTTAAATTTATGCCAGGCGTGTGTGCATGCATGCTCAAGATCCCAAGAGGAGAATGGAGGAAAAGGAATTGTGGTGTGGTCATCCTCCTTGGAGAGGTGATTTCTTGCTTTCTGTCTCTCTCTTTCCGGCGAGCACCCACCCTATAGCAAAAATCTCTCCAAAAAAAAGAAAAAGAAAAGAAAAGGTGAAGGCAAAAGTTGAGGCTGCAGACCAGGGGAAAAGAGCGTGAAGCTTCAGTAAATCACATCAGCTGAGAGTTTCTGTAAAGCATGGGTTTCGATTAATATGGACTCATTTATGGAGGGACTTGAACGCTCAGCTTAGGAATGTGGATGTTGCTACAAGGTGGCAGCTCTCACGTGGTAAGTACATTTCCCTGTAGTCCGTTTCTCTGGGGATCTTGTCTTTTTTCATTCTCTTATCTACTGCTCCCTCTTTCCTCTCTCCCATGGCAAGGTGTGGGGGCCTGGGTCCTGGGTGTGCACCCTGTGCTGTGGGGAAGGCAGATCCCTTTGCATGTCGAGGATGAATGCAGAGCTGAATGCTGATCATGTGTCTCCTGATTTGCCTCGCAGCAGGGAGCCCAGGAACAAGAGCAGCTGTGCTATTGTCTGGGGCTCAATCTCCAGTGTTTGTCTGCTAAGGCCAGGGGTGACGTTGTCAGCGTGGTAGATAAGCCGGCTCCCAGCTGTCGCAGGTAATTCTCAATCATCCTTCCCCCTGTTGACTCTGACTCCCCATTACTAAGAATGACGGAAGGGTCCCATTTTTCCCTGCCTGCTTTGTGAAAGTGTGTCTGGCTCTGCCCACAAAGGTGAAGGATGACCAGCCCCAGAGTGAGAGTGAAATGAGATTTTTATTTCCTGTGCAGTGTTAAAAAATAGAATTTGCTGAGAAACTCAGAGGTATGAACTATGGATCGTTGCCTCTGAGGCTCATAGGGGGAAACTGAGGCTTAGAAGTGTAAAATGAGATGGCACCGGCAGGAACTAGAAACCAGGTACCCCTGGTGTATCCCTGATTAGTTGAGTGTGTTCCCGACGGGTTTGGACAGGGGGATGCTGTAGGAGGGGGTTCCATTTTCATGGTATTTTTAACAGAGGCTTGCCTCAGAAGAAAATTACTCTAAGTGGCATAGATATTCTAGGTGGAGCTCTGACAGAAACACTCCACTGACGGGCTGTTGTAGGCATCGAGAGTCCCAAGTTCCAAAGACTGCTCGGCCAAAACGCCTTCATCATACAAATGGCAGTGAGGGGCTTGCCCCAATGTCTGAGAAGGATTTCAAGTCAAAGCAGAAGCTGGAGCAAGATAAGGGTCAAAGCAGGAACCCAGAGTACTTTGCTTCTCCCAGGCCTCTTGATATTATGGGTACTCTACAGAATACCCACCATAAGGCTCCTAATGTCGTCCCTGTGGATGGTGCTGTAGGCCAGGGTCCCTGGGGGGTTTGAGGTTCACAGGTCTCAAATGGGGTTTGGCTTTTGGTTTCGTGGGTGCTGCATCTGTTTGCAGGACATGCTGGAGTTGTTGGAAATGCAGACCACCACCGTCTCTAGCCAGACAGGCCTTCAGATTGGGCCCAGTGAGTGCAGTGTGACTCTGGCGCCATTTCCTAGATTCTTACACTGGGGCAGCACAGGCCTTGGGCTGCTGTGCCATTGGTTTACCTCTGACAGTCCAGGTCCGCTCTGCTCCATTCCCTGAGAGCAGTCATGTTTGCTGAAGTTCAGATAGGTGCCTCTGCTCTGGCCACTTTAGCTCACATGCTAGGTGAGCCTGATACCCGACATGGAGCCCTCCTTCCCATTGTACAGGTGAGGCAGCCAAGGCTCAGAAAACATGAGGTGCTGCAAAGCCGGAGCTCAAGGTCATGACTATTGGGCTCAAGGGCCTGAGATCTTTCCACAGCTCCATCCTCCCACATAGTGACAAAAACATTTGCTATACTAGCTTGCTACTCAGCCACAAATTAATTTTAGAAGCCTCAGTATGTGCAAAGTTGTCCGCAGCCCGACACCAGCCTTTTTCTGATTACTGTATCTGCCACCTTCTTCCTCCATCCCCAGCCATTCTGAGCTGTTCACTGCCCTCAAAGAAGCCCGATTTTATAAATCCAACCATCAACAGTGTCAGTGCAGGGCTCCGTGCTGGTTAAAATAGCCTGTAAAGATGAATCAGGCACGGCTCCTTTTCTTAAGGAACTTTCCACACCATAGTGGAGATCGCATCTGCACAACATAGTTAGAAGAGAACGTTCATGAGATTTTCTAAGTAGCCCAAGGACGCCTTTCATGTATGTCTTCTTATAATCTGCACTTAACAAAAATTGAATCTGATCAGAAAGCACGGACTGGTAGAAGGTCACACGGTCCAGCCAAGGCCGGTTTGGGAGCGGCTCCAGGTTCCTTGCCCTCTGTTAACGTTCCTGCTACATCAAGACATCCTCCTGGGTGGTGCCAGGGGATGGTCAAGCATGATCTGTCTGTTGCTGTCTCACCGTTGCCATTCTAGGTGACAAGGCGAGGCATCATCTGCATGTCTCAGACCTGCTTTACTTGTGTCCCGTCCCCCTCTCCGAGATGTAAATCTTATAGTTGCAGCCATGAGGAGGGAAGAGGGAAAGTAGAATGCTCCAGTGTCTGGGTCTTCATTTTGCTACTTGTTGCTTGGTGTCATCTGCTGAGTTTCTAATGTATCTCCCACTCTCCCACCCAGAGGAGACCCTGGAGGAGTAAGTAACACTGCAGAGCTATCTCAAGGAGAAAGCATCCACTCAGCAGTTTTGTTCAAGAGGGGGATGTGAACATTAGACATGTCCTTTCCCTTTTTTGGGCTCATGTATCCCCAGAATAACATCAGCAATAAGGTTAATAATACCAAAAGTTATAGTCGGTTGAATGGTAACTTCCCAGAAGATAAGTCTGTGCCCTAATTCCCACAACCCATGACCTCATTTGGAAAAAGGATCTTACCTTCACTTGCAGAAGCCCCTATGCAAAATAGATAAAGCCTCTCTGCTTGTGTTAACACAGTCTGAGGGCCCACAGCCCTATAGTTCAGTCCTCAGGAGCCCCATTAGAGGTCTTGGGGGTTGCTCAGATTTAGCTAGCTTCTCCAGGGTGTCCGAAAGTCCCTGGCTGTAAGTCCCATGATGCTCCATGAACATACAGACATAGTCTCTGCTGATAATGGACTAACGTCTGGTTTTTCTTCTAGAATTTTTGTATTACCTGTACAGATGTGTGATTTTGATTCAAGACTGATATCCTGGTTTCAAAAGAGCAGCAGATTATTTTTCCTCTTGGCCACAGATCCTTAAGAAGGCAGTCTTAGGGAAAAAACGTAAAACAAAGACAGGCTTTACGTGCTGCCTCCCTCCTCCCCAAGCCCAGTCAGGGAAAGAAGAGAATCCCTGGTCAAAAAGACTAGAGTGTCTCACCCTCCGGACTGGGTTAGGGCCTGCCGGCAGCAAAGAAAGGCCAGGCCTCTTCCCTGCAACACGCTGACCTCTGAGGAAACTGGCCTCCTGTCTTTAAGTAGACTGCTTTTTCTGTAGATGTCGGGACAGAAATACAGCCCCAGCTCTCCACACCGGTGGCCCATCTGGCCGCCTTAGGCTGCCCTAGATAGAAGGGCTCACTTCTGGAGACTAGCCTGTGATCAGAACAGCTGAGCATTCAGGTTTTGAGCTAGCAGGGCATGAGGAACCCAGCAGTCCTTTTGAAATATATTGCCAAAACTTGCCACACCTCACTTTTCAAATCATAGTATGACTTTTCTAATTGCGTTGTGTCAGTTGTCAGCCCATTTTATATGTAAGGCCGGTAAGCCCAATGAACTTAGAAGTCTGGTGGACAAAGGGAGAGAGAATGGTTGGGAAAGAGCATTTCTGTGGATGGGAAAGCAGGGGATGGTCCAGGACCATTCTCCACCAACTCAACTGCACATACCACTAACCGGCCCAAGGGGTTGTGGATAGATTTGGGCAATCCTGTGTCACTGTGTGCCTGGGACAGTCCAATTTATGCCTTTTGTCCCAGCAATACAATGAATAAGGCCCCCTCTCACTCTCAGAAGTGTGCAGGTTTGGGTGACAAACCATAAGGTCATCCTAATTATAGTGACCATGTACATGGAAGTGGTTAGCAGCACCTCGCATAGATGTGCAGAGTGGAGAAAAGGTTTAGTTAACAGCCTGTGTGGTGTGCTTCAAGAGCACAGAAGCTGGCTGGGGCCTAGCACCATCGTATCACAGGCTAAGTCACGTCAACATTTCACAGCACGTGTGGTTTTGAGTGTGATCATGGACCAAAATATCATATGAACTATGGTTCAGATTCTCTCCCATAGCCTGCTAGCTTTGACCTTTATGAAACTATTTAACTCAACTGCATGTTGGGAATAATCCTCTGGACCTCACGGACTTGGTATAGTTATTAAATAATCTGGCTCATTTGCTGGCATGTGTTAGACTGCCACCAAATGTCAGAGGCTAGGCCCAGCCACAGCGGCACACACTGCTGAGATGCTGTGCTCTGCAGGCTAGGACAACATGGACAGCCTGTATTCGATCGCTGACCCAACCTTAAGTCAGGCTTGGTGACATGCTTAATTTCAGTAACTGAAGCAGGAGGATTGCAAGCTCTAGGCTGACCTGGGCAACATGGAAAGGCCCTGTCCAAAAATAAATAAATAAATACAATTGAAAAAGCCTGATAGGTGGCACATGCCAGTAGTCCTAGCTGGAGACTGAGGCAGGAAGATCACAGCATGGCAATACCCTATCTTTAAAACCATGTGGGGGAGGGAAGCAGGTTAAGGTGCTAGACTCCCACATGATCAACTGGGGTTCGAGTCCTGAACCTGGTGGCCTGAAACTCACCCCAGGCACATGTGCATGCATGCCCAAACCCTTGAGAGGAGAATGTAGGAGAAGGGATTGCAGTGTGGACATCCCCCATGTGGGGTGATTTCTCACTTTCTGTCTCTCTGGCATGTGCACATGCCCTATAGCAAAAATCTTTTCAAAAAAAAAGGGGGGGGGGCTGGATGTTGGTGCAGCAGGAAATGTTACAGTGTGTTAGGCTGACTCACATGGTAAGGTTTTGGATTCATGTCTGCAAACCTCCCTGAGTATGGCAGGCATGTGCATGTCCATGATCCAGGGCTGGCTGAGGTTGGGGGGTAGATTATGGCATTAAGATCCCATAGGGGGTTCTCTCTCTCTCTCTCGTTCATGAAAGAAATAAACAGATAAAACTTTTTGGAGAATGCTAGCTGTCATTATTATTCTTCCTGGACTATTCCTGTTTTGACTTCAGGCTTGCCATCTGTGAAATGGGGAGAGATGTCCTGTCCTACCTGCTCCCGGCTTTGAGAGGCTGAAACCTGGCAGCCACGTCAGAGCCTATAGTCCCTGGGTTTGTCCCCTGTTGGTGCTGGGGCCTATGAACAGAAATCACTGCCTGTCTGCCCAGCTTCTCCATCCTTCCCGGACATAGAAATAAGTTCCCAAAGCATCATCCCTCTACCCACCCTGATGACTGTCCCCTATGGGCCCCTCTTCATCTCCTCCCCAGGCCAGCCACTCCCTGCTCTTCGGAGTGGTACTGTGTAAACACCAAGACCAGTATGTCATGTTCTGGTGTTGGCTGACACTGTTGGGCTGCCTTCCAAGGGGGCATGAGGGACAATTCCTGCCTCTGTCTACATGGCATCTCGTGGTCCTTTCTGCCTCATGAGTCCTCTTTTCCTTTGCATTTTTCAGGGAGTTCATCTGTTCCTAGTGTATCTGTTTTATTTTCCTTTTCCCACCATTTTGCCTCTCTCCATACCTCACCTTTTTGTCTCTCTGTTTTTCTTCTAGTGTAAAGAAGAGAGGGAGAGGGATTATGACAGAGTGGTTGAGAGCAAGAATTCAAGCTGGACTGTCTAGGATCCAATTTTGGCTGTACCACTCAGTAGCTAAATCGCTTGGACAAGCGGCATAACCATTCTGTGCCTCAGTTCCCTGGACCCTAAAAGGGGACAGTGATCATGTCTACCTTGTGTGGTTTCTGTGAACTTTCAGGGGGTAATTAGATGGACAATGCTAAGCAAAGTCTGATACACCAGAGATGATGGGTAAATAAATGTTAGCTACTCTTATTATCTAAAAACCTGCCCCTCTTATTCCTTAGTATTGGTCTGTACTCTTGGTGCGGGGAAGGGACTGTGCTGAGTTTCCTCATTTGGAGTCTAACCTCTGCTGCTGGTGAACATCAGGCTTGGAGCAAACAGCTCCCAATCTGGGCTTTCAATCCCTCCTCTTCCCGGCCCAGTGGGTGGGAATGTGATCTTTTGTGCCTTCTATCTTCTCACCTGCTGTATTGACTTTGCTTTAATTTGCCCCCTGCCCTCCTACTTCCAGAACCGTTGAAAATAGAAGACATGAGCTATTGTAATCTGTTGTTCAGTCTCTCCCCTGAATGGGGACTGGGTGGGGTGGACACATGGCATAGTGAAGAGGTGACTACTGGAAGCCATGAGGTACCTGTTCTGGTCCCAGTTGTTTTGTGATCCTGGACAAGTCACTTCATGTCTCTGAATTTCAAGTTCCCCATTTTATTTATTCATGTATTTTTTTAGCTTATTTACTAATTTTTTTTAGAGAAAAGAAACAGAAAGAGAGAGAGAGGTACCCATGATCACACCAGGACCTACCCCCGAGTCCCAGCTAGCTAAAATCACAGGTGTGCAGATGTGTGCTCAGTGTGTATAGGGAAGCCCCAGGACGTGAACCCAGGACCTTCCATGTGAGCCCAGTTGTGTTACCACAGCCCCATCACCTGGACCAGCTTCTCCGTTTATAAACTGGGATAACTACCCCTTTGCTTTGTGCCTCTTCTAAAATGAGCAAAGACAAGATACTGAGAAGCATTTCTCTGGTTGCTATTTGCTATGGAAGTGCAGCTTCCTTCTGATTTTGGAGTGGTGTTAACTCACCAGGGCAAGGAGCAGAGAGACTGGGGAATTAGCCCTGGCCACTCACAGCTGCTGAGACTAAGGCACATTAGTGTGGTGTCATGAGTGAGGGTGCTGCGGTGGGAGTTCTAGACGAAAGTTCTAAGCCTCCCTAGTTTCTCTCTGTTCTTCCTCTTAATGGATCTTTGACCTGTAGGTGACTCGCTCAGTAAACCACTAGCAGTCCTTCAAAGAGCTTGGACTCCCTTCACCAACATACTAGCTTTTTTGTTGTCCTATGTTTGTTTGGATGGTGGGAGAATTATTCACAGAATCCAGGGCTAATGGTCCCTGGAGGCCATTAGCTGTGGGACCTCAGGCTTTATACAGCCTTTGTGATCCTATCTATAAGGTGAGAGGAGGGCTCATGTTATCCACATGGTGGTCCATGGACCAGGGTCAGGTCAGTAATACCGAAATTCCCCCAAAGATTTCTGATGAGACAGGCATCCTGACTCTTCCCCTGGGTTAGTTGTGTGCCCTTTATCAGCTTCCAAGATTGTCCAGCCAGAGTGGGCAGCTGCTGGAGAACTGAGGTCTGAGGTGCTCTTGAGGGCTGGTCTGCCCCCTCCTGAGACTCAGCAGGGAGCTATGAGATAGCATCCGTAGTAGCCCAAGTATGAATTGGTCTTCACCTTTAGGGTTATCTGTCCATGTAGTTGTTCAACTTTCCAGGTGACTGCCATGCTTCATGAAGTGCTTTTAGAGCGGGGATACTTCTGTGAGGATCTGTAAGTGCGTAGAGTGAACACAATGGGTAGGAAACTTTGAAAGTGTCTTAGAATCACGGTCCTGCTCGACTGACCCTTTTAGTTTTGTGGTAGAAGGCATTAGGATTCTTGCTGGGCCCAGTCGGGTGAATCAAGTCCAATCAGGCACTGGGTTATTACCGTGAGAGCATGTGAGAAAGGAAGAGGTAGGGATAGAATAGCATTCCCTGAAGCCTGATCACTTCAACTGCTTCGCTGCTGTTTCCAGATCCTTTTATGACACACTGGCCTCTCAGCCACACCCAGGAGGTGAGGGACATGATCGGACCCCAGAATCTTTGGAAATCTACCTCCTTCCGTGTCTACACCCAAATGCGTGGGAAAGAGGCCTGTGTCCAAAGAGTCCTGTGTCCGGCTGTGCTCTATGACAGGAAATGGAACTCTGGGGTGCCAACCCCGAGTGTGGAGGAAACGAACACCCTCCCCCTCTACCCATTACTATCATGACCTGGATTCCCAAAATGCAGGACTCAGCTCCACCAACGTCAGCTCAGGGCTCACTTTCTCATCGGGCCAAGGACGTTTCAGAGTTGCTGTGTTTTCTCTCTCATTTCCTTCCCTCCTCCCCACTCCACTTCCTGTTTTTTCTTCCTCTTTCTCCACCCCCACCCTTCTCTCCTGGCATGTCCCTTGTCTGAGAACAGGAACACTGCCCTGAGCAAGCAGTGATTATCACGCTTTCCTGAAGTGTCCTCCGCTGCTGTTGCCAGGGCCAGTCCAGCCTCTCGGGGCCTATGAACCCCCCACTGGAGCCCGGCAGGAAGCCATGGCCTTTAGAACCCCCGTCTGAAAAAGGAAAGTGAATCTAATACGAATAATTCTTCTTGTCCTTAACAACAACTGCAGCTTCCAAATGTGAGCTGAGACAGTGGAGAAATGGACAATTCCTAGCATTTTGGCCCAATTACTCTGGTCTACTTTAGATGAACAAAAAGTGGATTTAGGAGTGAGACTTGGATTATTTCTGGTTGTGCATTGCATGTATCTTTTTCTGACTCTGCAAATCTGTCCAGCTCTTGAAAGCTGGGTTTCTTAGCCCTTTGGAAAAATGTGACTAATGGTACATCACAGGGATATTTTGAGGACAAATTAAGAAAATATACAATACAAAATTTGCATGATAAGCCTGACAGATGTTACTTGCTTAAGCAGATCGAGCTCCCTTCCCTCTTTCTATAACTTGGTTTTCTGCACAGAGGAGTGGCCATGTACATGTACAATAGTCTAAAAAAATCCCACAACAAAGGATACTCATGGGACCAGCAGATGGCGTAATGATTACATCATTGGACTCCTATGTAGTAGACCATGGTTCGAATCCTGGAACCAGCAGCTTACAACTCCCACCAGGCATGTGTGTGTGCATGCCCAAAATCCAGAGAGGAAAATGGTGAAGAGATTGCAGTGAGGCCATCCCCCTGGAGAATGGTTTCTCACTTTCTGTCTCTCTGTCTCTCTGCTGAGCACACATGCCCTATAGCAAAAATCTCTCTTAAAAATGATAAAAATTTTAAAATAAAATAAATAAAGGATACTCATAGGAGGGGAGAGTCTGTGTCTGTTACCATGTTTCTCTGAAACATGAAGTTTAGAAAGAAAGAGGAGAGGAAGGGGCTGCTGCCTGGGTGCACGTGTGCCTTGATAGGCAGTGATCTGAAAAACAGAGCCACAGAGCCTGTGCACCACTGCTCATGGATCATGGCATCCCATAATAATATTTTTCTAATGAAAAACAGGGATAACAATTCCAATCACATGCCTGAGGTGGACTGTTTTACTGATTTAGCTCCCAGGGGTAAAACTATAAAAATAGCCATTTGGAAAAAGTCACACTTTCCTTTTAGAAAATTAAAAAAAAAAAAAAAAAAAAAAGACGTCTTTGAGGTCCATGACCACTTGTTTGAGAACTTGTTTGAGAAGTCAGCCTGACCATGTATCTGCAAAACAAACAAACAAACAAACAAACAACAACAAACAAACAAACAAACAAACAAAAAAACTCCAAAGGCCAGAAAGTCAGAGCTGTGTTCCCATCTGGATTCTACCCCTGAATCACTAAGTCCTTTGAGTGAGGCTGGTTTCTTCCCTGAGCCTCAAAGTATGAAATGAATGAATTTGACAAGATTATCTCACATATGTCTGCCAGCCCTAGTGATCTATGATCCTATGGCTTTGCTCTCCTTAAAAAGTATGTCGTGAGTAGCTGGGAACAGGAAATGGCCTCTCGCAGTAATGTGGTGTGTATTCCCTTTCCCAGGGTATCACTGACTTAAGGACAGTGAGCATACGGGACTCGAGGGAGCCACCATTCTGACTCAGGGAGTCTGATTGGCCGTGGCCAGACAGCTGTCCTGCTGGCTCCTCCCATCAGCCTGGAGTGGTGAAGCGGAATCACAAGAGGTGTTTCCAGGTAAGAAACAGCCGCCCTTGGTTCTAGCACAGGGATAACTGACATTTCAGTGGAGGTGTATGTCATATGCATGTTTATTGAATATGCAGAGTGCTAAGGATGGTCATTTCCACAGATTTGCCTTTTTCAATTAGAAGCCATGCCTTCTAATCATCAGAAACATCAGAAACCTCCAAAGAAAGATGAACAAAAAAGGGGGGGGCATAAGTAATAATTGACAAAAATTTCAAGACAGCTATAATTCTGAAGTGGTCAAAAGCTCCTGGGTTTAATAGCCACATTTTGAGTGGGATCTGTGCCATTCTGAGTTTTTTGGGTGTTTTGGCATGATATTGAATAGCTTAGAACTGCATGCAGGAGGAGAAGATAAGATTAAAACTATAGTTTAAGACGACTGTTTTCTTGCAGAATCTACTTAAAATTAAACACAATAGGGGTTACTTTCCCCCATTCTGACTGACCAGATTTAGACTACCAGTTGAGAAGTCCTTTGACAGCCAACCTGAGATGGAATTTAGTTAAGTCTCATGTTGGAGACCTGACTTATATTCTACTTGCTGTACCATTTGTAGAGACAAATGCAATTCACAAAGTTATCATACAGGAGCGCTTGTGGTGGACAAGCTGCAGCTTTGCCCCATTGCCCTATTCTCTGACCACCAACCTGCTAGTTTTCTTTTGTTACTGCCCACTTCCCCCACCTACACCCAATGAATTATAGACATGTTCTTCTATTGTGCAGGGATAAGGCCACATCTATTTGAGCTTCTTTGTTGGACTTGTACCTGACATGGGCTGACGTCCATCTTGGATAACTTAAGATCTGCTGAGAGCTCAGCTCCCTATACTCTGACATATTAATAAACACGTCTCCCCAAGACAGACTCGGGGAACTCCCAGTTACCAAATCAGAAATCATGAAAGGATGACCATGCACTGAGATAGTCATGTGCCTTTACTGTTTCACCTTCTGCTGTGTCCTGTGTCCCTAAGCTCTTTCTTTTTCAGCTAGTTATCTTAAATTTCTCTGAAAACTAAAACCAGAAACAGTTCATGAAGCTGAGCATAGGAGGGGAGGTAAGACCAGGTGATATTTAACACATTTTCCGATTCTGAGCTCCCAGTAACATTTTTTTTCTGACTTCTTTCTTATACAAATTCTCATTTTTTTTTTAAGTTTATTTTCTTTTCCATGAGTGAGTGAGACAAAGAGAGAGACAGCAACCTACAAGAGAGTTTTGGTATTGTGATTAAGTCCCAGCCTGAGCCAGTTCCAGATCGTGGACATGTGTGTGCCTGGTATAATCAGGGAAGCCTCCAAACTAAAACATTCCCGTATGCATCCGTCTTGCACAGCATCATGTTTTATTACTGTGCCATTTGGCCTGTGGATTCTCATATTTTGGGAAAGATAGATTTGTTTTGTGGTCCCTTCCTTTCTTCCTCTTGTGGTTTCTTTCTCTAGCATGAAACTCTGTTTTCTTGCAGAATCCACTTAAGATTAAACATAATCAAGGTTCCACAGTCAGGGACAAAATTGCAGCTTTTCTACCACAAGTGCTCCTGTATCACAATTTTTCTATCCCTGAGATATAACATAATTAACAGAAAGGAAAATAATTTTAGAATTAAACAATGTGACTTCAAATCTCAGCTCTGTTACTTATTAGTTGAGTGATTTTGCTTAGATCATTTAAAATTCTTGAGCTTCTGTTCCTCCACACACGTGTATACATTTTTTCTTAAAGCATATTTCTTTCTTTTATGAGAGAGAAAAAGAGAAAAAAGAGAGCGAGATGAAGAAGCACTCTCAACTGAGTCCCACATCACAATCGCCCCAGCTTTCCCAGCATGCATGTACACACCCAATGTGTGCAGGTTGACCAAGGAACCAAACTGGTGATCTTTCATCTGAATCCAGTTTTGCCTGAGCTGGCCCAGTACATTCTGTGATACAGACTGGTGGCCAGGATTAAATGAGATACTGCATTAGCCTTCATTGTGTCCATATATGAGAAGACCAAAAATGGGATTAAAGTGTCAGTTTACTTTGGTGCAAAAAAATTCTAGAAATCCATGCACAACTCTTTAATTATATGCATTTTCCTTGAAATTTGAAGACACCCTCTCCCCCCCCCCCCCCAAATCCCACTTTAACACACAAACCACTCCACTGCAACCAACAGCACACCTCTTTGAGATGACAGCACACATAACTGAAACCCACAACACAAAACTGTGACCAACAGCACAACCTACACAGACATAAACCTCTCTGAGACCCACAATACTATTTAATGAGACCCAGACCACACTGCACTTTAACACACAAAACACCCCACTACGACACACAGCATTTCTCTGTAAAGGTCTCTCTCCATCCAACCCTTTATAGAGCTATGTATGTGTAGCTGTAATCCCATATTTGGATTCCTTATGAATCTTATATAAATGGGCCAGGTCTTGTGCTTAGGTTTTTTGAAGTCCCAACCAGTTAAAGAAGAGAGATGCCATTAGCAGGCTTTTGACTGCAGAGCTCCTCTTCAATAGCAGCTTTCTTGCACCTGAGCTTTGGCCAGATTGCTGTTTCTAGCAGAGCTAAGGAGAAGGTTTGCTCTGTTACACCCAGCTTCAAGGCCACCATTATCTTAGCCTCTTGACTCCATCCTCTGTTCAAAGAGGTATAAGCTGAAAACTATTTCACAGTAGCTTTTCCACTGCAGACCAGCATATTCCCCAGACCCAGAGGGCTGGATCAATTCATCTGAGGCAAGTGTTCTGGCTCAGCACTCAGTAAGACAGTTTGACTTTAAGCACTTGCTCACTCAAGGTATTCTTCCTTGTCTGCTAGCTCTTTCATCTGGTAAATTCATCATAAATATTCAACAAATATCTATGGAGCATGTATTGTGCTGCAAACAGACGGTTCTGTTCTTGGTGTTAGGGATGCATCACAGAACAAAACACAGTTCTTGTTCCTGTTGTCAAAGAGTTCTAGAGTTTGAATATGTCCCCCCAGAATTTATGTGTTGAGCCATTGCAAAGAGATTAAGACGAGATTAAGACAGTGAAAACTTGATCCAATTTTTGTGTTGAAGAGTGGGGCCTTTTGAAGGAGATTGGTTAGTAGGTTAAAATGAGAAAAAACAACATGAAATATATACCACTCTCTCTGCACATACCTGTCATCCTCTCTGCTTCTGTTAGCCATATGAAGCTAGCCTGATGCTCTCCTTATGTCTTTCTAACCATCAGAATCATGAGTCAAATAAACCTCTACTCTTTATGGTCCACTTAGTTTCAGGTATTTCTGTTAGCAACCCAGTAGCAGACTAAAACAAAGAGCTTGCGTATGAGTGGGATCAGGAGATCTTCAACAAATATCAAAGATATAAGGGGAAAAAAATCTTCAAAAAGTTCATGAAAAACATGTATTATTTAAAAAATACTGTATCATTGGAAAAGTTATGATGTATTTTTGCACAGAAAACATAGAAAAGTACAATATGACCTTTTCAATGACCTAATACGTACATAGGTGGAATTTTTTTGCACTAAAATAAACTTATGGTTTATTTCCATTAACTTTTTGAAGTCCCCTCTGATTATATCACACAGTACTAAGAGCTATGGAAAAAAAATTAAGCAGAAAAACAAAAACTAACTGAGAGACTTAGGGACTTGGGGGAAATGGATATTACTGTTTTATGT